TCAGCAAAACCTGTCTTGCCCCCATTCCCTGAACTCCTTATCTGTGATCACAGAAAAGCAGTCAGCACAGTTCTTTCTAAATCAGCTGTGAAGAGGGCAAGATAGATCCAAATGATGATACACAGATCCAAGACAGGAGCTCTTTTCCAACTTTGGATCTGTGTACAGGAACTTTGGCTGTCTAGGGACTACAGGATTTCTCTTCAATGGACCAACATTTTGTTTGTTGTAGCATGCTACCTTTCATTATTCAGCACTTTCCCAGTTGTGTAGTCAGTTACTTCCTATTTCTTGTCCTAATGGCAATTGAATTCTCAATTATTCAGTAAGCATTAAGCCAACAAATGTCAACCCATCAATGCATACCTACATTTGCAAACTATAGCCACACAAAAATGACAAACATTTACAGCACTGGCAAATCTGCTCAAATACTTTTAAAGATTTATTCACAAATATGAGCTGTTGCCTGTGATGAGTGAGCCATCTGGTGGTTTATACTACTCATTTGCGTTCCTATTTCACTATTCAGCATTTCAGTAGATTTCTCGAAAATACCAGTCGCCAACCTTAAGATATACAGCAAACCCACTCCAGGGTACAATCTAATGCACATTTAGACAAATAAATAGACTACACTCCCCAGCATATCCCAGCCATCCTGTGTTGCCACATGATCTGGCTCATTACCCTAGTGGCATGCAGCTTTGCATGTCATCCAAACCTGGTGACGTGTGTGAAGTCCATGGCTTCAAAACCATCCCAAAACTCATGGCTTGTTGTAGGGTTCTGGGGTGGCTGCAAAGGCACCTCCCACTGCATGCCTTTCAGGTTTCTGGTGACATAGGCAGCTGCATGGTATAAGATAACCAGCCAAATTATGAACTGCCAGACCTGCACATCAGGAGAGGGTGCTGGAAAAAGAACCCACCATGGCTTCTTTCCCCTCAGGTGGCTGTGTGAACCCAACCAGTGGGTATGCATTTGTCCATTGGGATTTGAATGTAATCAACAGAACATGCAATGATATCACAAATAGATCGTTCTCCAGATTTACATGGTATATTATAAGATCTTATAGTCTGCGTATACCAGTAACAGCAGGCACTGTATGAATACTTAACTTGCTCATATAACCACTTTTGTGGTTTAAAAAAAACCTGTCACAATATGCTCCCCACAACATCTATCCATGTAGCAATATGATCAATTTCACAACACTTTTCATAAGTTTATTTTACTACATGGGCACTGAGATAGGAAAAGGTGAACATATATACACTGTTCCAAGTCAGAGATACCTACTTAAACCAATCCCACAGTCTAATCCTAAACAATGGGTTAGGTCCAACACTAGTTGAACTTTTATTGTTATTTTATATACAGTATTTTTAGCCATCTGTCAGGGCAGGAGTTCTCCCTAAGTGGCATACAATAGTAAAACTAAAATGTGATAATAAAAACAGGGAAAACATCAATGGAAGCAAACATTTTAAGAACAGGAAAGGCCAACATAGGATAAAATCTATAACATGTAAATGCAGCTACAACCCAGTTGGCGAATCATGAGGAGGCCAGAGTAAAGTGGTAAATTGTGAGGACCTCCCAAAAACCTGCATTGATGAGCCTGGCATATCCGAATGACAACATATTCCAGATGTGTGGGGCCAATGACCCATTCCTGTCCTCTGTGCTCACCCACCTCACTACTCTCACCACTCATTGCAGACAAATTCAATGGACCTCTTGTGCTGTTCTTAAAGTACGGGCAGGTGAATATGGGTAAAGGTGGTCCATCAAGTAATCTGGTCCTGTATTTAATCAAGTTACAGCATGGCTTAATCCCCACTGACTTCATGTGACTCCAGTGTGACTTAGCCTAAAACCAAAACAGCATGTGGAAGAAAAATTCTTTGATAGCATTGGCATTCAATGACAATGGTGCATTTAGAGCTTGCATTAAGTAGATAGTGGTCATTATGGCCACTACTTTATTAGGCAGGTCCACCATAAGCCGCTTGTTTGCTACTCTGAGGTTAACCAAGTTATTGAACTTGCCCATGTTGTCCTGTTTTAAGTTTATATTGTCTGATTGTATGAAGTGTAATGATTTTTTAAAAATAAACATAAATTTAAAAGAAGTATACGTTCTGATTGTGCCTTAACATTTTTGTCCAGTTTAGAAGGAAATCCTACATATAACTACTCAGAAGTACTCAATGTTTTCAATGGGATTTCCTCCCAAGTAAACATGCATACAATTCTGCCTTACAATAATATTATAGCAAGCAGAAAAAGAAAAAAAAAACCTCTCTGAATTGTCTGCTCTATAAATATAGCAATCCCTCAGATACTATACAAACAACATGACATTGTTCAACAAATCGTTCTAATAAAATACCAACTATAATGTTAATACTTCCAACATACTAAGATGCATGATACACTACAGTAAAAGTACAATTAGGAAAGTGATGATTTTTAATAGCAGAGTGCCACCTTGTGGAGAAATGGTTACATTTTTCACATCAATATATTTTAAGGTAGTCTGTATCTCTGAAACCAGCAAAAAGTATTGAAGTTTTCTTAGGCAGAGTTAAAACATAGTTTGCCATCAAAAAGAGCAAACTTTTGGATTACTTACTAAATAAAGCTTTAACTAGGATATGTGTCTGAAGGCATTTAAGATATAATACTTTTTTGTTTGTCTTGGTATTTGTATGAGCTCTGGTTGTTACCATTGAAATGTTAACACTATTGTAACTGTATCTATATTCAGGTCATTAACAATCAATTACTTTTAAAACAATAACATTTTTCTTCCTTTCATCTTTATTATTCTATTCCTTTTATAAAAACTTTTCTTGGGAGGTGAATGCTAAGGTTACTTCCTATTATGCCTATGAGAGCAGTTCAAGGCGGTAATCTAAATTCATACTGTATTTAGAAGGACTTAAATCCAAATAAACACAAACAGGATTGGGCCACACAAATATTCCAAGTTATGTTACAGTGCACTGACAGAATGTATGCGCCAACCTAAACCCAGTTCTATCACTGGCTTTAGTGAAAAGAAAGTGTGATATTTAATGCTTTAAAAAGTCTTGCCATTTAACTTTCCTGTTTGCTAATTTTCCTTGTAAAGAATTTTGGGGCCATGATTCTACCTACCACCCACTGTCCTGCTATCTAATTTGATGCTTTGCAGAGTTTTCTATGCTAATGCAGATACTTCAGCTGATGAAATATCTCTATGCTCAGACTCCAGAAATATTATTTGGTTTGATGGACAGAAAGTTAGTGATATTCTGAACTGTGCTGAAAATATCAGTTGCCCTAGAAAAAGTACAACAAATAAGCATTATGAAAATGGAAATGACAGGTGGGCAATCAGACTCTATCTTACCAGATACAATAACATAAACTACACATATGAAGCAAATGTGATTCAGTCTTGCACAATTCCATGATTGAATAAGCTAGACTTATGGCCAAGTATATATATCCAACTGTCACACAGCAGCTGGCATGGCCTTTGGATCTCAGAAGTCACAGGAACTAGCTGGCAGTGTTGAAATTATGTCATTGTGCAAAGGTCAAATGAAAAGAAAATATATTCTTCAAAGTTTAACCTCATGACAGAATAGAGGACTTTGGATTCAGAAGCACTCCTTATTCCAAGCATGTATCTGTTGCTTCTTTAGCTGGGTCTCAAGATGAGGTGTACCTAATTGAGGAGGGGGAAGCAGTCAGAATGGTGAACCTCTCGTACATGTTGTGTGTGTGTGTGTGTGTGTGTGTGTGTGTATATATATATAGAATTAAGTGGATTAGCTGTACTGCTGAAGTTTAGTTGGGATAGGAAGATAAGCTGAACCTATGCCAAGGCGCCTGTTAAGTGTTAGAAAAGACAGAAAAAATTTCACAAAAGCACAGGTGTACAACACATTGTAGACATCATGGAAACTTTGAAAGACCAGGTAAGATTATTGCTTACGAATGATTGCTTACGACTGTTCTTTCAAATCGCTGTTTTTATCATCCTTTCCCAAAGGCCCTCTGATTTGGGGCAAGCCAAGAAGTGAGAAACAATACATTTCTTGGGGCCAACTGAACCAAGCCCTGCCCATTTTAAGGAGGAAAACAGAAGGCGAACAGATCCATTGTGTTTTGTTCCCCCACCCTTTCCTTCTCTGAAAAGCATTTCAAGTGGGAAGAACTGCACAATAAAAAGTTAAAAGGAATGTGACTCGTTGATGGACACTTTTCCACCTCTTGTTTGAAGCTAGGAATGCCAGATAACCAAGTCCAGAAAGTTGCCAGCTTAGAATCGGCACATCTTGGGCGACTCTTATTTTCCAAAACTGTCCACAATCTTATAGCAGGCGCAGCCACCCATAGGGAAAAGACGCGTTATCTTGCATGCACAACTCAGCCTGATGCAGTCACACGCACGCCCATTAAGTCTGCCCGGTGCAGCCACCCCCTCAATTTCTCCGGAAAGCCTTGGCTCGCAGGCGAGCTTGGAAGAACCAGGGAGGTTCAATGACAAGGCTTCGGCGGGGACAGAGATCTCGGGTGTCCCTCCACTTCGGGTGTCCTCTTTTCCCTTCCGCCAGAACACCCCGGCATTGCACCGGGCGCCTCCTGCGTGCAGAGCCCGCGCAGCGGGCAAGGGCGAAAGCCGTGCGACTCGCGCCGCCAAGAGGGGGAAGGGAGCAAGAAGGGGCCTGGCCGGACGCGCCATGCGTGGAGCAGGGATCTCCCCCTCGGCCCGGGCTCGGCTCCCCTCCCCGCTTCCTCAGAGAGGGTGTGGCGGGCTGCCAGGCTGGAGGCAGAAGCTAGCGCCGCCATTCGCGGCTCAAACCCGGGGGTCCCGCCTACCAGGAAGGGCGGTGGGGGCGAAGCGGAGCGAGATGCTATAAATCGAAGCGCGGGCCGTCTCGGCTCTCGCAGTGTGAAGGCGAACAGCCGCGGCGCTCGCCCAGCCTAGACTCGCCTCTCTTTCTCCCCCGACCGGTCGCGGGACTTGCAAGTTCGCCTTGTGCGCCCGAAGAGAAGCCGAGGGCTGCAGCTGCCCTTCCCGCCGTGGCTGTGGCAAGCGCTGCATCAAGGCAGCAGCGCGGAGTCGCCCCGAGAGAAAGCTTGCTCCTCCGAGCCAGGCGCTGCTTGCCACACACCCAGCCGCGCAAAACGTCTTGGGTCTCCCCCCGCCAGGCGCTCGCTTTCTTTTTGCCCCTTTCCGTAACCCCGCTCAAGGAGTGCAGCATGAAATGGGCGGCAGCACGCCTAGCGCTGAGCGCGCTGTTGCTCTGCCTGGCCGCTCGGGGCAGCCCGCCGCTGCCGCGGGAGCTGCAGGGAGAGGAGGAGTTGGTGCTGCCCATGCGGCTGGACTCCGTCGTAGAGCAACGGCAGCAGCAACCGGGCAGCGCCGGTGGGCGGCTCTATCGCCTGGACGCCTTTGGCGAACGCTTCAGCTTGGAGCTGCAGCCCGACAGCAGCTTTTTGGCGCCGGACCTGACGCTGCAGTACGTGGGCAGCAGCCCGCAGATCGAGGAGGAGGCGTCCGAGCACCCCGGCGGCTCAGACTTGGCCAGCTGCTTCTACTCCGGCACAGTGAACAGCGACCCGTTCTCCGTCGTGGCTCTCAGCCTCTGCGGAGGGATCCGCGGGGCGTTCTACCTGCGTGGGGTCGAGTACCTCATCCAGCCGGCTAATGTTTCCCACCGCCGAGAAGGCGAGCAGTTCCACATGCTGCGGCGGCGCCTGCGGAAGAGTGCCCAGCAAGGCGACGGCGCCAAATGCGGGGTGGCAGAAGACAGCTCGCTTCCAGCCGCGGAAGGGCGGCTGGAGCGCCTCTTGGAGCACGTGTCGCGCCCAGGTACGGCTCTTCCTGCGCGCCCGCTTCGCGCTGCCCTGCTCTGGGAAGCTCCTGCAGCCGAGGGAGGGGTTTGGCCCCGGGAACGTCGGCGAGATGCTGCGTGGCACGCATGCGCCCCTAGCGGCACACTCTCTTCAGAGTCCAAGAAAAAGGGGGGAAACCCTCCCGTTTGACTTGGAGAGATTGGTAACCAAAATCTGAGATGGGAGAGATGTTTGCCAGGGGAGGGGGCTGCATGGTGGGCGGGAGAGAGCAATCAGAGTTACTTTGTGCGGTTAGGCTCAGCCGTTTTATGCTGCTTATCTGCTTTTCCTTCGAAACAAAGACAGAATTCCTCTTTGCATGGGTAAGATATTCGAAAGGCATCTTTTAGTCTCGGGATTTGTTTGGAAGGAAGGCGCACTGATTGCCGGAAGCAATCCAAGGAGTACTGGATCCAAGTATCCAGTGTTAGCCCTTCTTCCAGCAGACCCATTTAAATAAATAGGACTTAAGTTAGATGAATACTGGATACAGGCGTTGGGTGGAAGTCCTGTGTATAGAGCTGCATGTCACTTATACTGGAAGCGTCAGAGAGGAGGTTCTGGTGGAAATGGTGTGTGCTTAACGACCATTTGTTCTCTGTAAAACATTTGAGACCTTCCAAGATTCCAAATGTTCACCTGATCTACAGTAAATAGTTCACAGCCAGCTTGTGAATTGCAGCCAAAGTCCTGACTTTTCTGCATATCCACCATTTAAGATGTGAACTTTTAGTTAATCCAGTAGTTTGTGTATCATACCATATCATATCATAAACAAAATGTATTCTGCTCCCAAACAAAGGCAATTGGATTGTTTCCACTGTTAGCCCTACCCTAATCTAATATTGGAGACAAGCCATTGCAAGGGTACCAAAAATGAATGGGCAGATAATGAGCTCCTGGGCACAGATTCGTTATTTTTGGCACTCAGAATTGGCACTAGGGATAATGTGGAATTTGTGATGTTAGTTGAATGTAAAGAAGTAATTGTAAGAAAGTAATTGAAAGCAAAGGAAAACATGCTGATTGTTTAGAAAGAAGATCTACTAAATTAAATAGGATCTTGCTCCCAGCACGTGTGCTTTGAATTGTTACTTTAATTAAAAATTTTCAGACTAAGGTTAGAAGTGCAATTCAGTAAGGCTTTGGTTACAGTGCTAAGCATAGTAGTGATTAGCACTGTAATCGTGCTACTGAACTTTTGAGTAAACTGGATTGCACCACATGTGTCTACATTATATCTTAAATTCAGATAGGTGATGTTTATGCACATTTACTATGCAATTTATTTAGGATTGAGTTAAAACCTACAAAGAAACATATCTAGGTTAAATTGCATTAAAAAATAATTTGGATGCTAAATGTGCTACCTGTGAAAAATTGTGTACACAGTGTTCTTTTAAAACTTGAGAATTGTAGTCCTCAGTACTTTAACTTGTGCATAAGTGCTATTGCCATGAAATTAATTCCAAGCCAATGTACATAGGACTGAAGCTAGGGCCTAGGCAGATCTGCTTGTGTCAGCTTGTGCGTGCAAATTCATGTAGGTCTTACTTGTAGGCATAGCATGCAGCACACATTAGTCCAAAGGTATGAGTGAGAGGAGCTATTCAGGTATATCTTCCATCTGCACCACTAGATCTCAACAGATGATGCAGTGTTCTTACCCTCTTGGAATACCTATTGAATTTCTGAAGCTTGAGCACTCAATTCCAGCAATAAACTCTTATGGGAAAATCTTTTCTACTTTCCTCAGTCTAAATCTGCCCTTTCCAATTCTCTCAAAGGTGCTTTTTGCTCCCTGGGTTGGAAAAGCCAGTACAACGTCTGGATCTAGATGAATAACATGAGAGAGTTGCTGTTTCCACTTATTTGCATGCCCTTTGTGATTAAGAAATTTTGGCTGTAAATTACATTAGAAACAGCATGTGAATAAAGTCCACTGATATTTTAAGTGGATACTCATAGAAAGAAAACAGATATTTGTTGACATAAAAATATCCTACCCAGTGGTAATTGCTGTACAGTGTGACCATTCATTGAAAAGTATTTGCATAGCCTTGGCCTTGACACAGGTGTAGTGAAGAAGCAGAAAGTCCCAGTTGAAGGACTTGTGAATGAAGGACTCATTTAATATGAGTCATGCAGGCAGTGAGTAGGTAGGGGAAAAAGCATTAGAAGTAATGTAAATGCAGATTTATCCAGACCGTAGGAAGTGGGATCACAAGAACTGGGTCACAGAAGCAATTAAGTACTTGGCACAAACTTTGCTTGCTGCATTCTGCTTTCCATGTAGAGCCCTGCAATCTTAGTTGAAGCTTTTGATAGTCAGTTCCAGCATGACGACTATAAGGCTTTATTGCAGGGGACTACAAGAAGTGGATTGGGGTGGAATTCCTTCAAGCATAAGAAGTCTTGTGAACTTTGTAAATTTAATCTGGGGCAGATTCATTGAATGCTTATTCTTGATTGCACCACACATAATTTTCTTTGGCTTAATAAAATACCTACAGTTGTTTGGCTGAACACTAAACCAGAGGATAAGATTACTCTCCAGTAAGAAGGATCTTGAAGGAAGATAGATCTTCAGATTCTTTGGCATATTTTCTGTGATAATGAAGCTTGGGTGCTGGGAGTGGGCATAATAACTAATAATTAATTAGTTAATAATAATCTACTAATAACTTGATCTGGTGAGGACAACGGGGAGTCCAAAGTTTTCCAGGGGCTGGAGAAGGAGACTTGAAATATTCTGTCTGTCTGTCTGTCTCTCTTTCTGTAAAGGAAAGGTAATCTCTTGCTATTTATGAGTGATGGACCTTATTTCAGGCAGAAACCAACATATTCAATTAGCAGGAGAAAAAGCTTCTGCCAGAACAAAAATTCCACCACTAGAGAGACAAGAAATTGGTTCTAAATGAACAAAACCAAGCAGATGTGCACTTACCAGAAAAATGAAGGGAAGGCCCCACTCCTTGCACAGTATGTGCTGCTGCATGTCATCACCATTGGTTGACTTGTTTAACCCATGGTGCTACTGTGAACCATCTCACTGAGAAACCAGCAATGTCGTGGGCACATGTGGCATACATAAAGCCATGCCGTTGGTGAGGCTTTGGACTTCTCCTGGGATAGCCTTTCCTTTCAGGGTTTTGGCTCTTTGCCAAGGTTGGCCATGAAAATTTGGTGGCAGCATAGAATATTTCTGCTGGATTCCACAGTGGAAATATTACGGTATGAGGGCTTGCTAACAAAGTTCATGTTGAAGAACCTGATCAGTAAAAATGCAGTAATCTTGAGTTCCCATTTAAGACTGCCATCCTGTTTTTGCTTTTAATAACAAAAATTATATTGAATAATAAAAAGTCTTTGCTAATTGTCTAGATGCTTTTGGAAATGCTGCTTATTTATGTAACTTAAGTGGTAAATAAGTTGCCAACCATCATTTCATTATTCATTATCTTTTCTTCTTAAAGGCAATAGAAGCACAAGAAGGAAGAGATTTGTGTCAAGCCCTCGCTATGTGGAAACCCTGCTTGTAGCAGACCAGTCTATGGCAGAGTTCCATGGCAATGGACTGAAGCACTACCTTCTTACACTGCTGTCTGTGGCCGCCAAATTGTACAAGCATCCCAGTATCCGGAACTCCATTAGCCTAGTGGTGGTAAAAATAATGGTCATCTATGATGAACAGAAGGGACCTGATGTGTCTTCGAATGCTGCTCTTACCTTAAGAAACTTCTGCAACTGGCAAAAGCAACACAATCCTCCCAGTGATGGGCATGCTGAGCACTATGACACTGCGATCCTTTTTACAAGACAGGTAAGAGAAAAGAAAGCCTTGTGTTTGGCAGACTCCAGCCAATCTATCCTGAATTTCAAGTTTTATTAAAAATGTTAGGAAGATTCTTTCAGGGATGCAGTTATTGAAATAGTGGATTGATGCTAGAGTTGTTATTTGTTAAAGGGTAAATTAAAAGTTAACTCTGTTTTAGTTTCCCCCATCAGAAAATTTTCAAAAATAGTTCAAATATAGCTGAGAATGTGATCTTTAAGCTTTGTTTGCTCAAGTTAATGAAGCAGCCAATTCACAAGTTCTAGGTAGATTTCCATTGGCACATCAGTGTTAAAAGTAGGTTTAGGAAACTCAGGGACTGAAGTGTGGAATAATTAATGAAACTATTCATGTAAATAGCCTCTAAAGGAGCTGTACACTACTGAATCATAGTATATGCCTTGCAGCTTAATTACAATAATTAGTTTTGCGATATGATATTCTTTGGTGCAAAACTTTGTGTGTCTTCCAAGAATGAGTTTATTTTTATACCTGTTGAAATACTGAGCATTAATGCATTTTCCGTAGGGAAGGGCCTGCTGCCAAAGTAAGTTTCTTCCTGCCGAAGTTAAGCTCCTGGCCTAATTAATGATGAAACTGGCTCTTCTTTTCCTTATATAGGATCTCTGTGGTGCCAAGACATGTGATACTCTTGGAATGGCTGATGTGGGAACTGCTTGTGATCCAAACCGCAGTTGCTCTGTCATAGAAGATGATGGCTTGCAAGCTGCCTTTACAACCACTCATGAATTAGGTAATTGATATTCAAGGAAGATCTGTGGCAAGCTTATTCATTTTCAAAACATGTATTCTACATATCGGTCTATATTTAAAGCATTAAATTAGTGTGGCTCTCCTAGTATCTGATCTAATTTTCACTGCGCCACATCAGACTACAGCTGGGGTCTCATGTGATAGAGGGCTTTTGCAATAACAGTCCAGTCTCTGCACAGTGAAAACTTGTTCTCATGGAGAAGGCTACATCCCTGCCATCCAGATATCTATGTGATGGGATTTTTCTTTTTTCATAAAGGAACATTTTTGTGAGTCCCCGCCTGTAATCTGAAGTGAGAATATAATCTGTAATGTGACTTGAATGAGAAAGAAGTTTTGTCTCTGGTAGCAGCAGCAGAACGATCACTAGGAGATTATTGCTTTTTAATTAACGTTGGGATGGAGCATTTGATCCAGACTCTTTTAGCACTACTGGTGGAGTAATGCACCTGAACAGCGTAATGAACTTCAGGAATGGAAAATAAATACATAAAATACTTAATGAAGAGTGGATAGCTTTCCATTCTAGATGATTTGGCCAGAGTTTCTCATCTTGTTTTTTCTCAATAAAACAAACACACATATGCACAATTGCCACTGCTTCAAGTGGCAGAGTAATAAACAGAAAGAAACTTGCTGTTGCCTCATTTGGAATAGTAAGCCACCTCACCACTACAAAATTGTAAGAATTCACAGGCACATTCCAAAAGACACAAAATATATTTCTCCAAACTTTCACAGAGAACAAATGTCCCTACAAAAGTAGAGGGGGATATTCAGTCCAGCTTTAATTATAACACTCCAGAACAGTCTGGTTTTTGTATAGGAATTCAATTCGGAACTCGGTTCTGACACTCCACTGATATCAATAGCATTGACTTCCAAATAAGTGTACTGACCATCACAGGCTATGCATGTAGCATCTGTTCTTGAGAGCAGGCCCCTCTGTAAGTCAGCTGCGGCACTGGGTAGAACCTTGAAATAGTGTTCTTTGTGCCTCCTCCTCCACTGAAATTTTCCTTGAATAGAAGCCATGCTGTCAGAAAACACCATCAAATCCCCAAATAAATGGAAATAGGATCTTACATTTAAACTACAGTTGTATTTTAGTAGCTGTCACCTTGCAATACTTGACATAAAGCTTTCTGTGTAGTTATCTGAGTGCTTGGGATGGGGTACAATGTTCTGTATATAAAAGTAATACTCTAAAACATGACTCATTTGCTGCAATGGTATAGTTCAACAGATCTAGACTTTTTTTTTTTTTTTTTGGGAGGGATGCAATAAATGATTAGGAAAAAAGCACATGATTTCAAAGCATTTTAATACATCTTATTTCCCCTACTCTTTCAAAGGTCATGTGTTTAATATGCCCCATGATGATGCAAAGCAATGTGCTGGTATTAATGGTATAAGCAGAGACTCTCATATGATGGCATCTATGCTCTCCAACCTGGATCGAAGCCAACCCTGGTCTCCGTGCAGTGCTTATATGATTACTACATTTTTGGATAACGGTCATGGTAAGATGTGCTTTCAGTTCTGATCGTATGTTGCTTACATTTAAATATTAATTGCTAGCTTAATTTTGATGGCTAACTTAAACTTAATTCTAATGCAAGGTGGGTGTGAGGACCACTTTCAGAAAGTTTGGACATTTAAATGACCCACCCACAGGAGTAGGAGAATCACTTGAGTCTTTCATATGGAATTGGCATCAATCTGTGGGAAAGATGGATTGAGATGCTTACCTGTCCACATCAGTGGATATCCCAGCCAGACAGGAAATCACATCTGAGTATCTCCTTCATTGTTTGGAAAATGTCAAAAAGGCATTCTAGGTGCACAGTATATCATGGTCACTGTAGGGAAATGCCATACATGTGAACAGTGTGTTTCCATATACCAGTTACTTAGAAAAAGTAGAGTAGGGCTGATGCCTTTGTGTGCTGATTATAAATTTCCTGGCCAAGTGAATGGAAATAGAAGCATCTGGCCAAGAGAATGGAAACAGAATGCTATGCAAGATGCTCCTTCAGATGGACTTACATTAAAACAGAAGCACTCATTTAATGGCTCAAAATAGATTATAAAATACTGATGGATGCATGTGTAGGCTGAAGCATATTTACTGGTTTCAGTCATTTTTATAGTACTTCTGTTATTCCAAATTAAATTGCTGGGCTATATATCAGTGGCAGAATCCATGTTTGGCAGACAGAAATTTCCAGATTCAGTACCATGCATTTCCAGGTAGGACTGGGAAAGACATCTTGTCTGAAATCATAGAGAGCTGCATCTAATCAGTGTGCAACAGTAGAAGATAGATTGGGTAGAAGATAGATTGTGATATAAAGGTAAAAGATTTCTCAGGTTTTTGACAATGACAACAAAATAATTTCCCCCATGCTAAAATAAAGGGTTGCAGCTTGTTTTAGTCCTATCTAGAGTAGACTCATTAAAATAAACACTTAAGTTAAGGCAGCACTGAATATATGGTGAAATGACGAAAGCATGTCAGAGAGGATAAGCACATCAAAATGTTTATGTGGAAGGTCAGTGAGCCCTATTTGGTTCTGGTATTCAAAACAAACCTCCTTTTCACCAGGCTGCTGTTGGTGTACTTTAGTATTCTACTTAAAAAGAAAAGAAAGTTGACACTAAAAGCCTCACCACTGGTGTAAATGATACCAGCCAGTGGTCTGACCAATGGTACACAGCAGCTTCCTATATTTCTAAATGTTCCCACATCCTGTAACATGAGAATTTGGTTCTGGCATATGATCAGAGACATGCATCATTTAAAGGAAACCAAATCTAATTTAAGTTTCCTTTCACCCTTTTTCAGGTGAGTGTTTGTTGGACAAGCCTCACAAGCCTATACAACTCCCTTCTGACCTACCTGGAACTCTGTACGATGCCAACAGGCAGTGCCAGTTCACATTTGGAGAGGACTCCAAACATTGTCCAGATGTAACCAGCACTTGTGCAACCTTGTGGTGTACTGGCACTTCGGGAGGATTGCTTGTGTGTCAGACCAAGCATTTTCCTTGGGCAGATGGCACAATGTGTGGAGAGGAAAAGTGGTGCATGAATGGCAAGTGTGTCAACAAGACAGACAAGAAGCATTACGATGTAAGTAATTTCCTAAAAAATGACTGTGTAAAAAGTATTGCAGGACGAGAAATGATGTACATATGCAATTATTAGCTGATGCTTGTGGCTGAGCAAATGAGAAATATTCTGATTGTTGAGAAATCTAAATACCTTTTGTAATTTTAGTTTAACAAACAGTGGTCCTATTTATTTTCATTCAGAAATAGGTTCCATTGGATTCAGTGGAGATTAACTAGCAGAAAGTATGGATAGAATTTGTTTCTCTGGGTGTATTCACATAACTTTCCTGGAGCAGCAAATTGTTATGTAAATTGTTCTTCCCAGAGATATAAATAAACAACAATAGGATTTCAACCTAATTTTGTTTCTAACTATCTGTTCAGTTCACAAATATATTTGTGTGTTTATTTTCGTTTTCCAAAATGCAGATGCCTGTCCATGGAGGCTGGGGCGAATGGGGCCCCTGGGGCGAGTGCTCTAGGACATGTGGTGGAGGAGTTCAGTACTCTCTCAGAGAATGTGACAACCCTGTTCCAGAGAATGGAGGGAAATACTGTGAAGGCAAGCGGGTGCAGTACAGGTCCTGTAATATTGAAGACTGTCCGGATAACAACGGTGAGTTTTCCAAGTAACTTTTAATTGGCAAAAATGTAATTATAATAAAACTTAGAATAAGTTTCTAATGCCTAATAAATGTCTTTCATATGTGCAGGCAAAACCTTCAGGGAGGAACAGTGTGAGACTCACAACGATATTTCTAAATCACCTTTTGGAACTGAGCCTGCTGTGCAATGGACGCCCAAGTTTGCTGGAGTGTCTCCCAAAGACAGATGCAAACTTGTTTGCCTTGCGAAAGGCACTGGCTATTTCTTTGTTCTTCAGCCTAAGGTGGGTATGGGTATTCCATATACATAGGAAGAAATTTAAATGTGGCATTACATTTTATCTTTGCCAGGGTTGATTGGGAAGCTATCTTGTTATATAAAAGCTATTGAACACATTCTATTCCCCCGGCTTCTTTTGCGGTCTGATGTTATCATTTCCAAATATCTATGGGAATAGCCATTCTGTTTCTGCAGTTGGTTTTTCTTTCTTTAAAAATGATGCATGATGCCTCAACTCTATTTTTCTAAGATCTAGCTTCAGTCTCCATCTCTATGTCCTAGTTTGCACCTAGGATTGGAACCAGACTTGGAATATGCCAACTGATTACAGTCAGAGGCTAAATTCTATCTTCTAAAAATCGTTTAAGTGCTTCTTTTTCTCATTTCAGTGTCAAACTGGTAGTCCATGAGCTCATCACAAAATGCTTAAAGAGTTGGCAAATGTAATGAAAGAAATAGAGCATTTTTCATATAATATTCAGTTATATACTGAATTCCTAATCCTTGAAGCAGTTAATTAGATGTCTGCTGACAAAATTGCTAGAAGTTCAAGGAATGTGTGTTGCCATTGCAAAATATAGTGTATAGCCCTTGACTAAATATATATGCAAAACACTGCCGTGTTGATCCAGTGCAGGAGCTCCCAGTATAGGCATTCTGTTATCTATTCTGAACACAAATATGTGAGGTGAGGGAAAGCCTGGATTCTTTACAGGGAGGGCACACATGGCTAACCACCCCACCCCAGATGACTGGATGACAAGCTGGACTTCCAGATGACAGCATCTGTACACAGTGCATGTACAGTTGTTGATCCAGTCAGGAGTTGCATATAAAGCTTCATGTGCTAGGTACTGCAGACATTGAGAGACAGATTTCTGTAAGCAAATGATAAAATCTCTGTGAAAATCAGTGTGACTTTAAAAGTGCTGCATGTCTTCTTTGTGATCAAACTTGCTTGCTTTCTTTAAAGGTGGTGGATGGAACCTTATGCAGCCCAGATTCCACTTCAGTCTGTGTCCAGGGGCAATGTGTAAAAGCTGGATGTGATCGCATCATTAACTCTAATAAGAAGTTTGATAAATGCGGTGTCTGTGGAGGCAATGGATCTACCTGCAAGAAAGTGTCTGGAATGCTTTCAAGTTCCAGGTGCGCTTTCATTTTTTTTAGAGGGGTATAGTCTTAATTGCATGTGCATATCTTTTTCACTAGAACAGTAGAGAAGTTACAGTTATCCATTTTTTAGACCGTAACTTTCATCTTGCAAAATCAATTTCTTAGTTAACTTTTACAATTGTATACAGGAACCTCACATTGTAGAGTTCCAAAGATTCAAGTTGTCAATGATAGTATTCTGGAGTAAATAAACCAATTTGAGAACTATCCTTTGACAAAAATGTGGGATATAAATTCATTTTTATTTAAAATATTTCTGTGGAAGTAATGGAGACTCATCTGCTTCTTTTTTTCTTCCTTGTAGACCTGGTTATCATGATGTTGTTGTGATCCCTGCTGGGGCAACGAACATAGAAGTTAAGCAACGAAATCATAGGGGTGCAAGACAAGATGGTAACTTCCTTGCTATTAAAGCTGCTGATGGCACCTATATTCTTAATGGTGACTACACACTGTCAACACTGGAGCAAGACATTATCCATAAAGGCAGTATTCTGAGGTACAGTGGTTCATCTGCCTCCCTGGAGAGAATTCGTAGTTTTAGTCCATTGAAGGAGCCCTTAACAATACAGGTCCTCACTGTGGGTGATTCATTTCGACCTAAAATCAAGTATACCTATTTTGTGAAAAAATCAATGCATTTGGGATCCGAGAAGGCTTCCAATAAGAAGACTGAATCTTTCAATGCAATCAAGGAGACAATTTTATCTGAATGGTTTATTGGAGAATGGGGAGAATGTTCTAAGTCATGTGGTACTGGTTGGCAGAGGAGAGCAGTAGAATGTAGGGACCTTAATGGACAGCCTGCCAATGACTGTGCAAGAGAACTCAAGCCAAGTGATGTCCGACCATGTGCAGATACACCATGCCCACGGTGGCAGCTGGGGGACTGGTCACCATGTTCTAAGACATGCGGAAAAGGTTTCAAGAAGAGATTATTAAAATGCATTTCCTTTGATGGTGCCATATTGCCACAGGAAAGCTGTGACCCTTCAAAGAAGCCTAAGCATTTAACAGACTCATGCAATATTTCCAGCTGCAGCTAAACCATAACAAGTTGGGAAAGCTAAAGGTTTTTCCCCCCACATCAAAGCACTGAAACTAAGGGTGAGAGGTAGCAAGTATAATTTGTAAAGGAAAAATCAGTGGATTCACTGAAATGGGACAGTGCAAATAATGTTAGATAGTATTGAACCATGAAAAATCCTGTCAGCTGAAATCTGATAAAATGACAAACCAGTCAGTAGCTATTTTATATTGAGTAGATAAAACCCTGAGGTGTTACAATTTCCTCCTTTAGTCTGTTACAAGTTAAACAAAACATAGGAAGTGGGCAAAGCAAGTTTAAACAAACACTTAATGCCTTAATGAGGATTGGAGTTTTTCAGGGTGGGGGGAACTTAAGAGGTTGTGTAGTGGTACTGAAAATATCTTTCTTGGTCATAGTTGGAGAGGAGAAGACAGGTTTTCTCTAAGCTTAATTATTAGTCAGGTCTTGGCTACCTCACAAAGAGCAACAAAACCACAGTATTTGAGAAGAATTTTCAATTCTATTGTTCATGGCTGCTATCATTTAGAGAATATTTTTGATATAACAACAGTAAGCAATACTCTTCATTGGGAAGCCAACAAGTACAGTGATGGCTGCTTGTTAAATCTTGATAACTAGAATGTAGTGCTCTAAAGATCTTTTGTTTTGATAATGAGATGTCTTCCTTGCAGCTGGTGACACTCAGACTAAGAATGGAAGCATTTCCAAAGCCATGGACGAGTTCCATTGGCTGGTCTGTGCTCCTTTTCTGCATGTCTGGTTCATGTCTCATTTGCTCCAAAAGACACCAGTGAAAGGTTGGAGCATATGCACTTGTTTGCTGTTTTGTGAAAGTTGCTTTCACTTTTTATAACCTGCTGCCATTTGAGTTACAGAAATGGTCACAGTTTTGTTATCATACAGCCTACCACTGCTTCCCCCATCTAGAACCCTCCAGAAGTTTTGGACTTGAGGTCCCATCATTCCCAGCCAGTATGACAAATTACCAAGACTTCTAGGAGTTGTAGTCCAAACCTTCTGGAAGTGATTAGGTTGGGAAAGTGACGTAGCACATACTGCTTAACAGCAACACAGCTGCATGTGATCTAATGCAAAGAGATAAATCCCATAATGAACAGTACATCTCTCAATACATGGGCACCTAACAAATTTACACTGCTCAAAACACTTGTAAGGCAGGGAAAATGTAAGCTGAGGGATAGCAGGTCCATCCACAGCAGTATGCCAATACCCACATATTTAAAAGTGTGTGCTAGTCCATAGACTATGAGAGAATGTGGCTCTCCATATGTATATAGTAAAATTTATGACTATAGATAATACATACTTTATAAGTATTTAAATCCTTTTCCTTCTGAGAAGGGTTGTAATTGGTAATAAATGCATATAATGAACCTATTTATTTTTATATTTCTTGTCTAATATGAACTTCTAAGTTATCACTTTTTTAAAAAAAGATGTATAACAAGAATAGAGTATTTATGCAATATAATATGATACTAGAAATAATAAACAATGACCTTTAGAAAATGTGTGTGGGTCTTTGTTCATTGATGGGAACATTCATGCATTACAAGAGGTAGGGGGGGAAGCTGTTCACAGTATTTTGCAAGATCATAAGCTACGTCACGGTCCGTCCTGGTGCTTGCACCGTGCATCCATGGTGAAGTCTTTCTGCTCATCTCGCCTCCCCGCCACCCGCATGCACATCACCCGGTTCATTGGTTGGAATGGGAGATCTGCGATCCCTATCATAATCCAGCCTTCACACTTGCCTGGGTGTAAAGATGCTCACATTCTTAACCACATTTATGTTTCTTTGGGATTTAGATATTAAAGCTTAATTGCTCATGTAAGCAACAGCATGGTAGCCACATAAAACAACTCCAAAGCGATTTGAGTAAGGCAGCTTAGTATATGAATCAATCTGTTTATAACACACCATCTAAAACCAAACATTTTTGCTGTAGAATAGTGAAATCATTGAATTTGCATAGAGAGCTCATGCTGAATAATTCGGTGTCAAAGTGGTCTGTACAGCTACATTTCAATATGCCATTCAGTTGGTCCTCAGAAATGCAATCAACATGAAAACTTCCCTGAAGTTTCTATGGAAGAAAACAAACTGTGGCAGAAGTAAATGGTTCACAACAGTAAAAAGATAATATACTATACGTGTAATTTAAGTTATTGTATAATATTCAACATTAGGTTCTATTGCAGATATCTTTAATATAAAGCATGTATTGTTTTCAATTGTAAACTGTCCTGAGAGCTGTTAGGCTAATCTGGTACAGTATAGAATTATTGTCTGCAACCTGCCCAGGGAGCCATGTGACTAATGGGACAGAGTAAAAATCAAATAAATAGAAATGCTTAAAAATAAACATTCCACAAGCCCATTTCAAAATAGTTGCAGGCTGGGGTTGGGTATTAAATGGCCTTTTCCTGATGGGTTACTTATATTGGGAGAGAGAGGTGGGCATGTGAACCTGTTAATTCTTAATCACTTGGTTCTTTTGATACCATCTACCATGATACCTTATTAAACTGGATCTGTAGTTTCCAATAGGTAGTATACAATGGTTTCAAAAGCTAGTATTTGAGAAATTTCTGCTTGACCCCTTGGCATTTGTACTGTGGATGCCCACAAAATTCCATCTTATTTCATATGCTCTTTAAAATCTGTATGAAACTGCTGGGATAAATCATTCAAGAACTGAAACATTATCAAATTTATTCTCTAAATCATTAGAATTAGGTTAAGTTGTGCAGGTGCTAAAACATCTAGATCAGTTATAGCTGAATAAGGGCTATTAAACCAAGGCCAAATCCTGACAACACGGAGGTGCTGTGTTTATGTGGTTCTTGGGACTGGGAAACTGCAAAGCAATTGTGGCAAGAATAGGCATGAAAATTGCACTGAAAGAATAGGAGTGGAATTTGTGAGGATCAGGACTGTTAATTTAGACTTGTCACTGGAGACCCTGGTGAACCTGATGGCACAGAGTACTTTTTACCAGCTACAGCTGGTTTGACAATTTTGTCTGTTTTTGGAATGGATTCCTTGGACCATGTTCTGAGAAACTTCAGCTGCGTTACTGTCATGCATTTGAGGCTACTCTTGAAGCTGACTCAATAGCTCCCAATTACTTCAGAATTCAGTGGCCACAATGCTGACTGATTTAGCCAGGTGGAACCATATTATTATTAAGTAATTTATTGGCGGCCTATTCACACCAGAATCCAGTTCAATGTGCTGGTACTTGCCTTGGCTTGGGACTCAAATACTTCAAGGATCACCAAGGATCCCATCCTTCCATGGATCCTTCCATACCATCCTATCATACCATCTTCAGATGTGGTCTTTCTCCAAGTACCATCAGTTGGTGAGGTAGGTTATGGATGAACAAAGGAAAGGACTTTGGAGTGGTAACACCCTGCCTTGAGGACACTTCCCCTAAGGAAGTATCATTCAGTCTGATACAACAGTTGCTTTGATGGCTCGTCAAAACATTTATATTTGTCTAAGAATTTAAATAGCTTGTATTACATCTGTCCTGGCCTGTAGTTTTAGGGACTTGCTTCCTTTCAGTCATCCTGTTATTAAAAGCTGATGTGTTTATTGATTTTTATTATTTTATTGTATACTGTGCTGAAATCTGTTCCAAGGAAGGGGTGGATTTGGACATTTAAAAATATAATAAGCAGATATTCAGAGGAAGATACTGCTACAAACTTCAGACTACAATTTTAAGTGCAATTGTTTATTCTCTAATGTAAGAATCCAGTTTACAGAATTGTACAGATACATGTATTTGAGAGCTGAAGTTGAGCCAAGTTTTTGATAAATAAGGAATCATCCAAACTGATGTGTATAAGCCAAGAATATGGGCAATACCTAGTTTAACAAAAAAGGGAGGCATTTCAGAAGAGTTAGCACAATATACACTATAGCTGCAAAACAGTGGTAGTGCTCTTCTGCATTAGAAATTAAGGGTAGACTCAGAGAAAAAGATCAGTTTGTGCAAAACCTATATAAGTATACAGGAGCTGTAGCAAAGCACAGTAAGTTGATGAGGCCCCATAGGAGAACTTTGCACTAAATTGCAAATAGTGTGACAGAAACCTTCATGAACAGTAGTTCCAGTTATGTAGCACCCAATGCAAAATTCTTCCCCTAAAAGATTATACTCTCTTTTCATACAAGATTTTTTCAAGAGATGCAACAGCAGGTCATAGACATGCTGGAACCATAGAAGAATATGCATAATGCGTGCCCTGATCCCAAATGTGCTTATTGGGTATAGTTCAGAATGTTTGGTACAGATGCCATAAGGATACTTAAGATGAAATTGAAAAGCATTGATAAAAAACCAGAAAAACCTACTTGAATTTAACAGCATAAATAAATCTGTTTGTCAGTAGGATATTGGTCCTTTAAAGTAGCCTTAGATATATCTGAGTGCTCAAACTAATATTCTATGGACTGCACCCAATGCTCCTGGTCCCCAAATCCACAACTGCCATTCCTATGATACCAGTTTCCTTGATTTCCAAGTATGTTTGGGCTAACTACTAACTAGACATGCCACTGACACATTGTCAGAAAAGAAATTGCAGCCCCCAAACAGATGCTATGAAGGATGTATAACAACTGCATATGCTAATTTATGCATATAGATGTCAGTGTAAACATCATTGCTATTATCTAATAGATAGCAAATACCTTTCATCATGGTAGAGAAGACAACCCAACCTGCTTCTCCTCATTTCAGTTGATATGCAATGTACCTTCTCAGAAATATTGGCACTGAAGCAAATTGGCAAATTGGTAGCCTTTTAACTAAAGTCAATCCTCACCACCTTATTCTGACTGATTTGAGGAAAAAAGCACTAATATATTCCACTATGCATTTCTTCTTTGAAAAGCCTGCAAGCTTTTTAAATAAATCTGTTTAAACATTTCCAGATGTCATTCTCCTAAAGTCAACACCACATGATCTCCTGCCTATTAATGATCCCATATTAAAAAATGAAATGAAAAAGAAGATAGAGAACAGCACCCAAAACTGGATTGGGAGTGGACCTAGAGAAGGGACCATAAATGATGCTAGTGAATAGGAGCCAAATCTGTGCTAGAAAAGATACGTGATGGACCATCATCTCTGTAGGTGACTGTGCAAAGGAGACAGCAGATGAATGAGCAGTAGGGCCCCTCGGCATTCTCTGGACATTTGCAAATGCCCTATCCAGCCCACTACTAATGCCAGCAATGTGGTTTTCTTCTTTAGAAGACTATGAAACAGTCCCTATGGGAACCTTTCAGGCTGCAACAACAAGAAAAATACCCCTCACATATATTTCCTCTTGGCCTCTTAATACAGTGGGGGTTTTTTTCTCCAATATATGTAAGTCTAAACAGCAAATAGTTTGTGTCAGACAGAGGGGTCCCTGTAGCATTATTTGGCCATATGTCCAGTGGGAATGTAACCAAGAAGATATACAACTACTGCTTGGCAACCAAAAAGATAGGCATGAAATAGTGTATGCACAATGCCTGCTCCTGCACACTATAACCCTTTTGTACAATAATGTGGAATTTAAGACTGCTGGGGTCATGCACTTTGGAGCTGCAAATTCCTTTCGTTACTTTTCTTTCCCTTTTTTATGGGTATGTATTTGACCTGCTCTGATGCACATGCAGACAAGTAATTGCTGAAGTCAGATTTTTACCATAGCGTTGTAGTGTTTATGTGTGGTGGCGTTCTTAAACCTGTGTGTTGTTTCTTCTGACTGTCGGGCGATTCCACAGATATCAGTAGCCAGTATACAGTTACCCTTAACAAGCTCTCTTCATGTCCTCCCTTGCGTGTTGCAGACCTCTTCTCTCTGTTCCTCCACTGCCTTGCTTGATTTCTCTGATATTTATTCAAAGCTGTCTAAATCCTCTGCCTTTCCTAGCCCCTCCTCATGAGACCCACTTTCCTCAAGCATCCTCACAGCCTTTCCATCCGCTCTCTTATCCATGTAAAGTCTTTGCCCTCATCCAGTCTGGTGCCATCAGGTGTTTATCCTTCAGTTTTCGTTTTGTCCCTGCCTAGACTAGTACATGGTGGCACTTCTTCCTCTCTCTTCAGAAGCCTCCTCAGTCCGTGTATTTGACAGGGTTAACCCTCCATTCCCCCTTGCAAACTGTAACTAGATTGAAGGCCACATAACTGCTTTTGCCCATACTTAACTCTTTCTTGACTTTACTTCATTGTTGCCAACACCTGCTATCTTCCTATTTTGAACTGGAACCTCTTTTGGGCCAGAGACCGCCAAAGAGGATTCTTGTGAATCTCTGTAAAGCACCTTTAATCACAGTGTGGGACTAAAGATACCCATTTCTCCAAGAAGATCCAGGGAAACTGCATACTGAGGTTTGGTTTCCTTTGTAAGGAGCTTGTTGGAGGTTTATTGGATGCTATAATATATATACTTGTTTCCAAATATGCACAAATAAACACATTTATTGACCTAAGCAG